AACGTTTACATGAATTTCTCTATCAATAAATTTCATATACTTAGTTATCAATTATCGTGTTCCCTTAGATTACTTAAATACCTACCAATTTTCTAAAAAAAAAATAAAAATTAATACATTTTTTGAACACAACAAAATAATATTAACTAAACAAAACTAGAAAACGTAATTTTTACTGCATCACAAGCAAATAAAAATTAATATGTAGCCAAGAGTCATAATTCAGTATTTCTCTGGGGGGTGCCCAGCAGTACATGGGGGGGCCAGCACCCCCGGGCAACCTCAACACAGCAAACCTCATACTATCTTTGATCATCACCTCCGTCACTTGTCACTGTCAGATCAAATCAGATGTTTTTGGATTTATTTATCCTTTGTTTTGGTTATTGAAATTTTATAATTACAGATAAAATTTCGTAGTTAAATTGGTTATTTTTGATGTGGATCGCGGTGTGCAATTCGTTCTTTTAATTGTGGAATTTCTGAGTTTAGTTCGTTCATTGACCGGATATGGAATATGGCTGAGGAGAAAACATCATTTTTTATTTATGCCTTTTTGTGAGTTGGACTAGTCAAGATACATAGTTCTCTATCTATATCCTGGAGGGAGATTTCCGGTTGAAATCTGATTTTGTGAAGGAAATCGAATCCTTGCATCACTTCTTGTGTACTCCCCGGCTGAAGAGTGTCGTCGTGAAGAACTGGCTGCCGTTCCGTGAAGCATTCCCTGTTGGTGATTGGCAGGTCTTCCTAGTGAAGGATTAAGTCTTCCGGAACACATTTGGACAGAGACGTGGTTGTATTTTGTGGGATTTACATGGACCAATGACCAGTTTCCATAATGGGATTAAAATAGCCTTTTTCCGACCGATATTCCGATTCCATGTGCCCAAGAAGTCCCCGAATAGTTCCAAGGTATGCTATAATTCTTCTGCCTATTCTAAGTTAATGCTCAACTGATTTTTGTTCATATTGTTGTCTGGTTTTCGACTTTTCCATGCCCACGTGGTGTAGAAAGATTAGTTGAGTGTTATCTTTCTTAAGTCTTATTTGGTTGTTCGTAATTGTAAAGCAAGAAGACCGATCCAGACCGTATAGCACAGAACAGTCCAGAATTCCATCCGTTCCTGTTGTCCGTGTAGAGGTAACCGTTGGACATCATAAACCCTCGTTGAGGTAAAGTTCAGATTTGATTAGCCCTTCTTTATTACCTTTATTAACTCCTACACGTTGTGCTAGTCCTTGTTCTATAATTGAGGCACTTTTCTAAGACAACCAATGTTATTTAGGGTTTTTATGTTCACCTTTTGAAGTCCTACACCTGGCCGGCATTCGTACGTCTGCTGACATCCGTGGGTTCCAGTGACAGTACACCGAGCTGCTGTGCACCGCTGTAGCCACCCTGTAGCTATACACCGTAGCTCAGCCGGAGGAACTTCCGAGTTGTTTCAAGTTTATACAACGCTTAGAGTAAGACTGTTTAGATTAGTATAATTTTAGATTTGATATTTGTAATCCACCCAGGATATTTTACTTAGTTTAAGTAAGGGGGATTATGACGTCATACTTTTAGTTAGTTTTCTTGATTTAAATTTTATTCTACTTTTCAACGTTTATTCATTTCCATTTCTTTAAATATTAACTTTTAATATTTTAATAAATTGCTTAAACATTTTTAGTAGTATTATTTGCAGTCTAGTCTCATAGTTAAATTAGAGTCACTTAAGTTTAAATAATTATAGTAACATTTGAAGTTCGTGGTAGTTACACTCAACAGTTCGAGGTTAGTGTTGAAGTCTACTTAATAGTAACATCTTTTATGCCGAGTTCATAGAGTATAATCTCGTGGCGCCCTTTTATTAATATCTTTGAACCCCGACCACCCGGCTGTTAAAATTAAAAAGCTAGTGGCCACTATGCAACTCATTACCGATTAAGTAAACTTGTGTTTTATTGAACTTCAAATAAAAAAGGGCATGGCACGCTTGATAAATCAACTCACTGCAGTCGGAGATCATTACGGCCTTAAAATAAATACCACTAAAACAAAAATACTTATAATATCAAAAACCCCAGAGCCGCCCATAGATATTAGTAGATATGGGAAACAAATAGAAGTGGTAGAAAAATTCAAATATTTGGGGACCTGGATTTGCAACAACCTAGATCCAGAAATAGAAATTATATCCAAAATCGAGCAAGCAAGACCCACTTTTCACCTGATGCGGCCATTACTGTGTAATGCCACCCTAAGTTTGTGAAGTGCTATGTACACCCGGTTTTGTTGTATGGCTGTGAATCATGGACTCTAAAGGTTAACACCATTAACAGAATAGAAGCCCTTGAGAGGTGGATTCTTCGTAGACTTCTCAAAATACCTAGGACGGCACATATTACAAACGAAGAGGTAGTTCGTAGAGGGGTCGAAAGTAACAGGCGGCGAAAGTAACAACCCAAATAACTAAAACTATGCGAATAATCATGGCACTTTTGCTAGGTAGAAGAACTACGGCCTAGAATGCCGGATACGATATCTCTGCATATTGGCAACATCGGCCTCAGTCTGTAGTGTATATAAGCCCATATTTGTTTTCGGTGCTCTTTAGTAATATTTTTCCAGTGAGTTTTAAGTCAAACACCAAACATTCTGGCTGCAGGTTTGTAATTCAACTTGAATGTATGATTGGTTTAGATATATGGGTATAATGTAAGCACTAGTGAATGTCTTTTTTTGCCGCGGTTCATTACGAAAAATTTAATTTTTTTAAAAGAGTATGGTCGGGGGCGGTTGTAACATTAGGGCCTGGGGGCGATTGTAACGTGTTACAACCGACCCCGCTATTTTTTTTCTATATTTTGGTTTGTAAATTAATAATAATAATAATAGTAAGAAAATTTATTGTAATTTGTGTACATAGATTAGATACAAACAAAAGAATTATAAAACACAATAAACAAAAATATAAACAAAAGAAAAATATACAAATTACAAAAAGACTGGAAATACAGCATAACTGATCAAGTTCCAGCCTTGTTTAATGCATTAACATGTAAATAGCAATAATATAAAAAAAAGAAAATATTAAAAACAAATTTGGGTTTGTTTAACAAATTAAAAATTAGGAAAAAGAACAAACTTAAAAATAGAAATTATATGTAAAATTGTTTAGGAAAACACTAAAAGGAAAGAAACGCTGCTCAAGTATAATTTAACATTGTTGATCTAGAAGGTGTCGCTTTAAATGCGATTTAAAACTATGAACTGGCAGGTCTCTAAAACATTTATCGATGCCATTATACAGTTTATAGATATTGTACGTAAAGGATCTTTGGAATAATGCTGTTTTATGATAAGGTGGGGAGATGAGCCCTTTATGTCGCAAATTCAAATTATGAACATCTGTTCGAAACTGAACCTTTTCGTATAAATAAGGTGGACACTTGTAATTAATTATAGAATGATATAAAGTTAGTGCGTGATATTTTCGTCTAGTTTCCATATTCAACCAGCGAGCCTCATGAAGTTTGTATGATATGCGATCGAATTTACGAATTCCGTATATAAATCGTAGACATTGCTTCTGTACACGCTGAATCTTAGCAGTATCAGCAGCATCCAGACAAGGCCCGTAAAGAACATCGCAGTAGTTAAAATGACTGAGGACTAACGCATCGGTGAGTTTCCTCTTAAGTGACTTATCCAGTATATGACGATGAGGATAAAGCATTTTCAAATTCAAGTAAGCCTTCTGAAGAACCCTTGTCACGTACTTCTTAAATCTCAACTCGACATCAAACTCTACTCCCAAATTTCTAGCAGTGCGTACAGATGTAATTTCGACGCCATTAATTTTAATTTTCAATGAGCTCTCAACTGCCTCGCGGTTGGTCCCAAAGACCATGACGAAAGATTTACTGGGATTTATAACTAAATCATGTTTATAGGATATCTCAACCAAACTGGAAATTTCTTCATTAATTATTTCATTAGCCCTGTCAACATCGCTTGAGAAAAATGAGAAGCTGAGCTGAGTATCATCCGCATATAAATATGACGCACAACTCCCCAATCGTGATGCAATTTTCGCAGTGTAAATGCTAAACAATAACGGACCCAGTATAGTTCCCTGCGACACCCCTCTCACAATGCTACCCCTTGGCGACACGACCGTTCCTATCTGAACAAACTGAGATCTATCCGAGAAATAGCTCTCAATCATTCCGACCGATTCTTCCGAAAATCCCATATATAACAAAATGGCCAAAAGCAATTCATGGGAAATGGTATCGAATGCCTTAGAATAATCAAGCAGTACCATAACGGTTGTCTTGCCCACGTCACTCATTCTCAGAATGTCATCAACCACGTCCAACAACGCAGTTGTGCAGCTGTACCCTCTACGAAACCCCGATTGTCTCTTAGGAAGAAGATCATTAATATCAAGATGAGATTTTATTTGGTCGCTCATAATTTTTTCTAAACACTTAGACAAAACAGGAAGTACACTTATTGGACGCAAGTCGTTGTAACTATCAATGATTGACTTTTTAGGCAAAGGGATTACTTTACTTATTTTCCAGTGAGTGGGAAAAACACTACGTAATAAACAGTCATTCATTATATTAGCTAAATATGGCAACACAAAAGGACAGCACAATAAAAGCATTTTAATAGATATATCATCGACTCCACGAGCATCGGATTTAATATTTAATAAGTGCCTATATATTGTATCTTCATTTACCAAACGAAATTGAAAAAGTTCACGAAAAGTTTTAGCTTTGTTTTCTCTATAAAATCTCACAGTTCCTAAATCGGAATCCCTCTTAATACCATTCTGATCCAAAAAGAAATTATTTATTAAATGAGGCTGATCAAATTGTGTTCAAATTGGATTTTTTTCTTTTCTAGAATGCCTCGTTCGAAAGTTAGAAGAACTAACCGAGGCTCCAAAGATATCGCAACTTATGAAGATGCATACGCCGATATATAAAGCGGTATGTCTACTCGGGCAGCGGCAAAGAAACACGACTTGTGTCATGTTTCTTTAGGACGGTTCAAAAATAAAAATGAGGCACTAGAGGCACTGGGTGCAGAGAAAAACAATAATTCAGTTTCCATGGGTTATAGAGCCTGGAACAAAGTTTTTACCCAAGAGCAGGAACAGATTATGGAAGATTATATCTTGAAGGCAGCCAACATTTATTATGGTTTTTGCCCTAAAGAAATTAGAAGGTTTGCATATGAATTAGCCGACAAATATAAGTTAGCAATGCCACCCCAGTGGAAAGATAAGCAGATGGCTTCAGAGGACTGGTTCAGCAGATTTATGAAACGACATCCACAGCTCTCGTTACAGTGCGCACAACCAACTAGTTTATCTCGTGCGACCAGTTTTAACGAAGCCAATGTTAATTGTTTTTTTAATAATCTGGAAAAAGTTATGGACAAATACAAATTCAAACCTAAAGACATATACAACGTGGATGAGACGGGCATCACCACAGTCCAAAAACCAAATAGAATTGTGACTAAAAAGGGAACACGACAAGTGGGAGCATTGACATCCGCCGAGCGTGGAACATTGGTCACTAACCTACCTGCGTGGTAAATGCTGTTGGAAATTTTGTACCTCCAATGTTTTTATTTCCCAGGATTTGGTACCAGGAACATTTTATTCGGGATGGGCCAATTGGAAGCACTGGCACCGGAAACGCAAGTGGTTAGATGCAAGACACTGAATTTCTAAAATATTTACAATATTTCCAAAAATATGCATCTGCAACTATCGATCACAGAGTTCTCCTACTTCTAGACAATCATGCGTCTCATATTTCTATTCAAGCTCTGGACTACTGCTCTGAGAACGGTATAGTGGTATTTTCTTTCCCGCTTCATTGTTCACACAAGTTACAATCGCTAGACCGTTCTGTGTATGGACCTTTAAAGAAGGCAATTAATTCTGGCTGCGATGCATGGATGCGAAGTAACCCAGGGAAAACAATGACGATATATAATATCCCATCCATAGTAACTACAGCCTTTCCGATGGCGCTGACATCAAGTAACATTCAGGCAGGCTTCAGGTGTACGGGAATATTTCCCTTTAATAGACATATATTTACCGCCATAGACTATGCACCCTCTTACGTGACAGATGGGCCTGCAGCAGCAGCTGAGCTAAGAAAAGATGAAGTTAATAAGGCAAATCCAGAAAATGTAGAAAATGACTCTACAACACCTGACGAAGCGAGAAGTAAACACGAAGAAACTCCGCCACCGATACCAGTTTCAGATGAACCTGTAGCGTCAACTTCAGGACTTCAGAAATTTGCACCGGAGACAGTTAGACCTTTCCCCAAAGCTCCACCCAGAAAACAAGAAAATAAAAGAAAAAAGAAAAGAAAATCGGCTATATACACGGATACCCCTGAGAAGGAAGACATTAGGGCAGAATACTAAGAAAAGAAGAAAAAACTGTTGTGAAAAAAAAATGTTTGTGAACCTAAAATAAAACCAAAAAAATCCTCCTAAAGGAAAAAAGCCACAGACGCGAAGAAAAACAAAGAAGAGAGCAACGAAGAAGATCAAGAATGTTTTTGCCTTGTATGCTTCGAACCATACGCTTCAAGTAGGCCAGGGGAGGGTTGGGTGCAATGTATTGAATGCAAGCATTGGTCACATGAAGAATGCACAAAACAAGAAGCTTTATATGTTTGTCAAAATTGTGACTCAGAATGAAAAAAAATAGAATTTATTTGTTCATTAGGTTAAGTTTACTATTTCAGTAAAAAAAAACAAGTTTTTCTTTTAATATTTATAGGAATACAGTTTTTTTGTTGTTGTCTATAGGTACACGATTTTTTACGACTTTTGTACCTGCATTAAATAAACGTATATTGCTGTTACATTGCTTAGTTTTTTTCACACTGTTACTATCGACCCCGCTTAGTGTTACAACTGCCCCGGAGCTGGGGGCGGTAGTAACATTTTGCACCATTTTAATTTTTGGTTAATAACTAGTAACCATATTTATTTAAAAATCTTAATGACATGTTTTTAAATTTATAAAAGATACAAATAACGATATGAACAACCAAATTTGTTCATATCTATTATAGTTCTCCAGAAATTGGTTTTTGAAATAAAAATGTTACTTTGGACCCCGGTCTACCCTACTAATGCGAGACCAGTGCGAAAGAGAATTAGTGCACATAGCCAAGAAACGTAAGACAGTCTATCTGGGTCATATAATGCGTGGAAGTAGATATGAGCTGTTGAAATTGATAATGGAGGGAAAAATTGAGGGCAAGCGGGGTATAGGTAGAAAGAAACATTCATGGTTGTATGGATGCACACTCGTTACTTCGAGCTGCCTAAGATCGTCAGAAGTTCGCCGAGATTGTTGCCAACATTCAATGAACAATGAAAACGGCATTCCGAGAAGAAGAAGTTAAATATTGAGGACAGATTTACTTTACCTTTAATAGCATTCTTTGTCACAATCACCAAAATTTATAAACAAAAAGAACATCAATGCGTCTCGAATGGTAGTCTAAAAGCTATTACTTAACATCTATTATCGCTGTTATTTGTCTGATTTCCGTCTCCCTAGTTTGCGAATAATACTTTAAAAATCTATAATTTGTCTATAATATAGAATGAATGTTTTGAATTTAAAGAAATATGTTTATTTTTAAATAATCGGTTCATCTCAAACTACAATAAAGAAAAGCTATTCTTGAAAAGTACCAGGAGTATTATCAATTAATTTAAAATTATTAATGGAAAACAGGAATAATGACGAACCATATTGAATCTATGATTTAAATTCGAACAAAAGTATGTTTCTTCAGCGATTTCATAGACTGACTATCATACTAGACACATTACATAAGCTTTAATTACGATAAACCGGTTTCTACTAAGCAAAATTAAGCGTATTTTTAACTATATTTTATAATAAAACCGTATACCTGAACGTATACCTGAAAAAACTCCAATGATCATTATTAAAACGAAAGTATAAAGGCTTTTTTATTACCTGCCAATTGTATTGTTTGGCGTTTTAATAAAATTCTCTTTTTAATTGGACTCTACTGAAATGAACCCCTTTTACAATGTATTACAATAGAAACGGGCCTCGTAAATGGTGAAATTGCTTTTTAAATTTCTGCTCGGTTTTATTTCAAATAATTTTAAATAATATTGTTAAAAAAATATTAATAAAACAATGGACAATTTTCATGAATTTTCAAATTACCTGAAATGTCATTTACGTATTTTATACAATATTGATACCAGACATCCGTAAAAATATTTTTCCAAAATTCTGTACGCAGGGAATACCGAAAACTTTGTAGGCCGGTAGGCTGGGCTGGAACTCTGTAACGAAATAGCGATCGGTAGCGATGAAGAATACTGACCTTGGCCATATAAACTAAACGGCAAGCGACAGTATTCTTCATCGCTACCGATCGCTATTTCGTTACAGAGTTCCACCCCGGTGTCCTAATATCGATTTTTTTGCGTTGTCCACACATGTCACACTTATTTGATACTGAAAATGGTCGTTTTGTGAATAAAACTGTAAAGTTTAATGTGTTTTTTATGTAATATTTAAAAATATATGGTGCCAAGGGAGGAAGCCGATGTCACTTCTTGAGCTGAATCGTCCAGCGAGAGAATACATGACTGTGACATTTCTTGTCTGCCATTTTATTCGCTAATAAAATTATTTTCTTTTATTTATTGCATGTCGTCCCTGGAAATCTTTCCTCTTTAAGTCCTTCTGATGTTGCCAACAAGATCTAATACTCAAAGAACAACATCAAATAATAAAGCAATGTAACAAATATAAATTTCCGGGTATGGCTATCACAACGGACGGTACAAAAGAGCAAGCAATCCAAGAAAGAAATACTCAAGGACGAAGAACTATTATCCTACTTAATAGCATTCTATGGGACCAAAACATATCAAAGAGTAACAAACAAAATATAGAACGGTATTGTAAAAAGCGTTATAACTTATAGAAATGAAGTATGGCAACTGAAGAAGAAACCAGAAAAGATCAGCCGGGAAATCAAGAATTGAAAAAAATACAAACGAAAGGATCAGAGAAATTATAGGCGTCAAACATTCTATAGTAGAAGATATAAAAGTAAATCAACTTAAATGATCGAGCACGTCCAAAGAAAAGACTGCCAAAACAAATTCTGAATAGGACACTCACTGGTAGACGCAAAAAAGAAAGGTCGAAAAAAATCTGGAGTGAGAGAATAGACATCTAGACGAAAACCTCTGGCAAGATAGGCAACCATGGAGACTAGGAAAATTATAGTTAACACACAATAGAATAATCTTTGGTCGAACGTTATAACCCCGATATGTATACCGGGTGAGTCTCAAAAGTAGGTAACCTCTATAACTTTTTAGTTTTTTCAGATGAAGAAACGAAATTTGATATGTTAGTATATGACATAAATTAGGATTAATTGACGTATTCATTTGTTTTTGGTCACTTCCTGTTTCACCGAAAGTGACTACAACTTTTGACTTTTAAATGACACCCTCGGCATTTTTTATTTTATTCGATGATTAGAAAATGACACTCCGAATAGAATGACATATCATATATCAACTTTTGATATTTTTGCTTTAAATATTTTAAATTTCAATCTAGAGTGCAATAGCTTTGTTAAAAACACTAATTTTTAATCAATTTTTAAAATATATTTGATCGTCTAATGTTTTTCGCGTCTTGTTCTGGTCTGTTAAAAGATGCACAAATTGTATTTGTAATCATATCTCAATTTTTTTCAAATGGAACAAGGGTGACCTACGTTATTAGCATATTTGGAAAAAGCATTTTTTGCGAATAATTTGATACCACACACTTGGTATTTCGGTACCAAATTATTCGTAAAAAAATGTTTTTTCAACTATGCTAATGAGCCACCCTTGTTCCATTTGAAAAAAAATAGATATGATTAAAATACGATTTGATCTTTTAACAGGCCAGAACAAGACACGAAGAACATTAGATGATCAAATATATTTTTCCAAGGCTCTTTGATTGAAAATTAGTGTTTTTAATAAAGCCATGGCACTATAGATTAAAATTTAAAATACGATTTTTTTGAGCAAAAATGTCAAAAGTTGACATAATGGTATGTCATTCAGTGTGTTATTTTCTATCGAATAAAGTAGAAATATACTGAGGGGGCCACTTAAAAATCAAAAGTTGCAATCGATCCCAATTTATGTCATATACTAACATACCAAATTTCGTTTTTTTATCTGAAGAAATAAAATAGGGGTGAGCCACTTTAGAGACGCACCCGGTATAAGATGTAGCCATCGTTCGCATCATTACAAAAACAGAACCCCCTTACTCAAAGCATATTTAGATCGAAATAACATGGCGTTTAGATCCAAGTAATTTATCGAACCTATGCCATATGATCTTTGATTAAGGTAAATTTCAGTGATTTTCGAAAAAAATTCTGACTCGAAAAGAGTAGAATTATGCAGACTACCTAATTCAAACGATTTTTGTTCACAAAATTTTCTATATACTCACTGCGTGTATACAATTTGTGGGTTATT